ACTAAAGGCACTTAGACTGTGCAATTTGCAGGTGCAATTGCTGCAGAGCTTAGTAAATAAGGGGAAGCTCTGTTCACTCACATCATCCAACCATGTGTAAGCAAAAATGCTGTTTTTTTCATGTCCTTGCATGTAATTGAGTATTCTTTGCAAAGTGAAGCTTCATCTCATTTGGAGCAACTGCACGTACAAGTTCACATTTTATTTGCCTTTACTAAATCCACCCCATTGTGTTTTCCCATGTTGCCCTCATAGGTGCATAAAAACAGACTATCTACAATATATTTTTTTATTTTATTTTATTGGTACATGATGGCAGTGCCCAACTCCCTTTGCCCATTTTTGACATTCTCTTGACAATTAGATTTGATTTTCAATATTTGCTCCAAATAGACTTCAGTAGGGTCCAAAATAAAGTTTACAATTTTCAGAATTTATGATGGGTTCAATGACTGTCCGACACAACCATCTCAGACCAAAACGCTCATCCCTATTTAGGGTATTTTCATATACATGTATCTAGGGCATTAGTCGAATGGATGGCTCAAACTCAACAGCTGTTCTTGTACAAGTGACTTCATCCACTGTTGTATAGGGCAGGCATGTCAAACTCAAATCAAACAGTGGGCCAAAGTAGGTGAAATACATCTTCACGGAGGCCACATTATATCTAGTACTTTGGCAAGGATTAATAATATCCCAGAGAAAAGGTTTCAAAAAAAATTTTCTGAAATACTGAGCTACAGAATAAGGTACAGAAAAGTAACTTCTATCAACAGGAAATCAGCTGGGGCCTTGTTCAATTTACATTCATGAACCACTGAGAGCCACAAAGAAGGAGCAAGAGGGCTACATGTGGCCCCAAAAGACTACCAGTATGACATTTCTGATATGGAATAATGATTACCAAAATACACACACACACACACACACACATATATATATATATATATATATATATATATATATATATATATATATATAATATTTCAAGCTAATTGTCTGTAAAAGAAAAATGTAGATCTCTCTAGAATGATACATGTGTTATGAATGCAAAAAGACCAGTTCTGCCACTACCCTACCCAAAGAACATGTTTGACCTGCTGAAGAATTCGCAATCAGAACATGTATCCGTGATCAGTAGGAGAAGGAGAACTGGTTTCTTGAAAATCATAGCTTTATCAGTCAAAGCAGCTGTTAAAATGAAACACAATTTCAAAGCACCCAGTTCTAAAATGTAAAAGACTAAACTAATAGTTTTACGTAATATAGCAGCATCCACACATGTACTGTAGGATACCCAACACTGGCGGTGATTTATTTTTACAAAGCAAATACATATTTGCACAGTTGTACTGACCAGTATTCCAGCATTTCTCTCTTTTATCTCAGTTTCCCTACCTCTTCAGCTAACTTGATTAAAGTGCTGACAGATGGGAAAATATGGACATTCTCAGGCTCCCAACATCCTCCTTTACAACTTATGATGTCATCCGTTGTTAGGATGCCTGCAGCTGGCGCACATAGTGCCCAATGTTGTAATGCTGCACTATAAAAACCTTTGGCAGACGTGATCTACTTGCTGGCTTGTTGACAATTTTTGGGCAATTTGGATACAGTTTTTGGCGATTTTGCCAAGGCACCCCAGTAGAACCCAGAAGGCACCCCAGAGTGCCATGGGGAACTGCTTGATAAAGTCTGGTTTAAATATATGACAAGGCATTGCAAACTAAAAAAAAAACAACTTTAAGATTCATATTTCAGGTAAATATTTCTCTTCACATGCCCTCTGCCTCGGTGGATATAGATCTATAGCAGCAGTAAACTAACAGCATTCTGGTGAATATATGTGACTTCTTTAGAACAAATAAAGCCATGGGCATTATATAATTCCACAGATGGTTTAAATAAGTTTTGCTAATAAACAAAATTGAGAGGTGTATCTCCTTAGAGGGGCATGCCAACAGCAATGAAAATCTGACTGGGGTTCTAACTATCCCCCCAAAAAGTTTTGTCTTTAGACACTCTTTAAAGACTAACATATTCAGGGTGTAACACATAATAGGTTACAGAGGCAGCAGCCCCTCACTCCCTGATCCCCTATTGTGCCAGCAAGCCAGGTATCCCCCCCCCCCCACACTCGCTGTGAATGGGAGAACTGCAAGTACCTTCAGCCTTTGCGGCTGTTGACTTGTAGTTCTAAATGAACTACCAGGGCATGGTTGAGCACTCTAGGCAGTTCATTATTGCTTCAAATCAGTGTGTAACTGCCTGCTTGTATGAGGTATGGGCAGACAGCTTACACTGACAGTCTGCAAGAGCCCTGCATAGCACCTGTGATCTGCTGATCACGGGTGCAATGCTTTACATTGCTGCACTTGTACCTTTGTAAAAAAAATAATAAGTGCACATCTTTTTTTGCAGGTAAAAAAATTAGCATTTGTTAAATTATTTACAAAGGTGAACTTATCCTTTCAATTTCTTCTGCCTTATCATTGCAGCCTCTTCTCATGCGGTCACATGTCCTCTGACATCATCAAGTACAATGCACGTCTTGCATTGGGTGTGAAGATGCTGAGATATAGTCCACAAGTAAAAGCAAAGGGAAGAAGAGGAGAGGGCCTGCTACCAGGTGAGCATAGGATCAGGTAAGTGAAACAGCTTTTTCCGGTACCCTAGACTTAAACAAGCATTTATCCCTTGTAGTGCAGAGGCAGTCCAACTGCTGGGGAGGATGTTTGTATTCCTCGTAGAGAGGCTTTAGAACTCCTGTCAGTTTAATTTTTGTGCACAGTGGTGAAATGTACAGAAAGTGAGAACAGATCTCTAGAAACTAGATTAATTGCAGCACTACCTGCCTGGGGTCTGCATGTTCTGCCTGTGCCTGCATGGGTTTCCTCTGGGTTCTCTGGTTTCCTCCTACACCCCAAAGACATGCTGGTAGGTTAATTGGTTCCTGTCTAATTGGCCCTAGTATGTGTATGCATGAATGTGAGTTAGGGACCATAGCTCGTTAGCTCCTTGAGGGTTAGGGACTGATGTGAATGTACAATATATATGTAAAGTGCTGCGTAAATTTATGGCACTATATAAGTGTCTAAAATAAATAATAATAATTGCCCTTTTAAACATTCTTCCCCATAAACAGTGTTCCCACTGGAAGATTTTCTCTCTATTCTTGCATGGAGGACAACTGTAAACATTTGGAATTCCCATCATTTTTTGCTTTAGCAACAACAGTCAACAGATCAAATAGAGATGGTGAATCTGTAAAGTGGGACATAGACAGAAAAAAAACCTTGACAGTAGTTCTAACTTCTACAAAAGCATAATTACTATGTCCAGTTTGCAAGAATGTCTATCATTACCTTGACTCAAATTAAGACTGCCTGCCCTGCTGCCTATGAAGCCAGCACCATCTTAGATTTTGGTGCTGACGTCCTAGTTGGTCCTCTTGTGGGAACATGCGTTTATGCTAGAGTGGGACATCACCTTGACAAGTGATTAGATTATGGCACTGTTCTGCAGTCACTGTGCATGCGCTAGTCCGAGTCAGTAGGGGAAAAAGCAAAGGAATAAAAAACAAAAAATATGTTTGTTCTGGATGCTGTAAAATATATCAATGGATGGTATTGTTGGGCATTTTGGGAAAAGCCAAAGTTTAACTGGTGAGTTTACTTATGCTTTAACAGAAAAAAAAATTGGCTATACATATACTTTAACCAGAAATGTGTAATACTTAGAGTAAAGTAAGCAAGAAGTAAATGTTTACATTTAACCAGAAAAAAAATCACACCACCAACGCAATTTCAGCACAAAACTACAAGATTTTCTGCAATTTAAACACACATAAAAGAATTAGAAATAAAAACTCATTTATAAACACTGCAACCCTTTAGCATATCATAGTTAAGCAGATCTGAATCAGCAATCAAAAAGGCTTTTCGGTATGAAAGGCTTGAATCAGTATGAAACAATACTGGACAGTCTTTCATTAGTTTTTCTTTAGTTAGATGCTAATAAATTGGTAGTTTCACATATACCAAAAAATCTAAATGCAAAAATGTTTTGTTTAGCCTTTCTTTTTTAAATAGATATCAGTGCGGTCTCATAGATACTTACTAAAGAGTTTGGTGTTTTTGCTTGTTGTCGAACATATTTACAGCTGAGGTAAAGCATCACTGTACCCAGCACAGCAGCAAAAAATGGTCATGAGACTGACTATCAATGTGACCAATGAAAGATCTGTAAATAAACAAAAGAAAATCATAATTCATAGGACAAAAGACTTAACAATACCTTCAGCTTAACCTATTAATTATACATGAGCAATTAGAATGTTATGGTTGCTGCAAAGTTGGAATTTCCATACCAGGAACAATGGTGAGAAGATCATTTTGTCATCTATAAAATAAAATTTGCATAGATGTCCATGTGCTCTTACATTAGGGCACTCTTGAATGGATAGAAATATGGAAATTGGCAAAGTTCAGCCTTGAAGTTAGGGAAATCTAGCACCCAACAACAGAGTGAACATTTTGAAGAGAAACATTGAAGGGTTTTGTGGCTAAAAAAATAGGTAATCACAGGCATCTTGTGGTATCAGGAATTTTACCAATAAAAGTTTCCTTTAACTGCCTCCCGCCCACCCACCATATAGTAATATGACGGACGCAAGGTGCTTCTCTTGTTCTGGGAGGACATCATATGATGTCCTCCCATTCTAACTGCGCATGCACGGCTCCCAGAGCTCGCAGCGTGGCGATCGGCGGTGCGCTGTGTCCCTTGGACACAGTGGATCACCGATCCACGGAAAGAGACGAAGATGTCAGTTCGATCATGTGATCAGCTGTGTCCAATCACAGCTGATCACATGTAAACAGGGAAATGCCGGTTATCAGCATTTCTCTCCTCACAAGCTGTCACGCTGACAGCTCGTGAGGAGAGGAGAGCCGGTAATCGTCATTCCTCGGAGGGGACATGTACAGAGATCATCAGAGCACTGATGATCAGTGTGCCCTGATGATCTGTGCAGCCCCAGCAGCGCCACCTGTCAGTGTCCATCAGTGCCAGCTCTGTGCTCATCCATGCCACCTGCCAGTGCCCATCAGTGCCACATCAGTGCCACATATCATTGCCCATCTGAGCTGCCTTTCAGTGTCACCCATCAGTGCCAGTCAGTGCCACCTATCAATGCCAGTCAGTGCCACCTATCACTGCTGCCAATCATTGCCACCTATCAGTGCCAATCAGTGCCTGTCAGTGATGCCTAGCACTGCCGTTTAACAGTGCCAGTCAGTGCCACCTAACAGTGCCAGTCAGTGCCACCTATCAGTGCCGCCTATCAGTGCCATATATAAGTGCTGCCTTTCAGTGCCCATCAGTGATGCCTGTCAATGCCCAACAGTGCCACCTACCAGTGCCTCCTCATCAGTGCAGCCTATCAGTGCCCACCACTGAGGGCCTGAGGCAACCGCTCCCACCCCCTCTCCTGCCTGGTGAGTGCTGAAGGGGCAGAGCAGAGAGTGGTGACTGCAGTCTCCACACTCTGATCAGAGAGGACCTGAGAACTGAGCAATCAGCAATCATGTGATATAGGTGAGCATGCGCGTTTTTTTTTTTTTTGTTTCTTAAATCTTCTCCTTTGACCAATTTTGGGCTGCCTGCCCTCAATATACTGCAGATGAATGGCAGCAGGATTAGTAACATACCCATATGTCACTGGTCCTTTGTCAACACAGAGGGGCACGCAACCCCCCCCCCCCCCCCCACGTCTGCTGTGTCCACCGGACCCAGCAGAATGAGAACCTCAATAATTGGGACCCGGTGATTACATGATCACAATGACAACAAAGCTTTTATGAATCAATCTGGTTCACAAAAGCTTTGCTTCTGTTCCTGGAGAGCTGTGATTGGTCATGAGCTTAACACATTCATGAGCAGCGCAAAGCAAGCTTTGCATTGCAAAGCAATGATCTTCAATGCTCCTGCAATGCAAAGTGTAAAAAAAAAATCCCTGATCACCCTACCAGTGTAGTACAATGTTGTAAATGTAAACATAATTTAAAAAAAGGCAAAATAAATAATTAAAAAGAAAATTTTAAATTCACCTCCACCCCCATCCCCATGCTCGCACGCAAAGGCAATTGCAAGCGGTGATCCCACGGCGGTATGTAAACAGAAATTGCACCATGCATGTGAGGTATAACCACAAATGTCAGATTGAGGGCAGTAATTCTTGACCTCTTGTGCAAGTCTAAAGTGGTGACCTTTAAAGGCTTTTAAAGTGTTGCCTATGGATATTACAAATTTATGTATTGGTCGCCATTGTACAGGCATGCACAAATCTAAAAAGCATGTCATGTTTGGTATCCATTTACTCAACGTAACATCGCTTTTTTATATTTTATCAAGCAATTGGGCAATATATTGTGTTTTTGTGCATTAAAATTCTAAAAAGTGTATTTTTTCTCAAAAAAATTGTGTTTGAAAAATCGCTGAGCAAATACTGCGTGACATAAAAAAAAGTTCAACACCCACCCTTTTTAATTCTCTGGGGCCTCTGCTTTAAAAATATATAATGTTTGGGTTCAAAGTAATTTTCTAGCGAAAAAAAATTTTTTTTTCAAGTAAACAAAAAGTGTCAGAATAGGCTTGCTTTTCAAGTGGTTAGAAAAAGTGGGTGATGTGTGGCTATCAGCTTCTAATGTTGTCTCTGAAATGTCAGGATAGTGGAAGTACCCCCAAAAAATAAAAGACCCCTTTTTGGAAAGTAGACACTCCAAAGTATTTGCTAAGAGGCGTGGTGAGTATTTTACGTATCTTATTTGTTGCCACAAGTTTTTGGAAAACGAAGAAAGAAAATTAAAATTTATTTTTTTTTTCTTTTATCCTTTTTCAAAACTCTGTGACAAAAAGGATAACTGCTAAACACTCACCATTCCTCTTATCAAATTCCTTGGGGTGTCTACTTTCCAAAAAGGTTTTTGTATTATCCTGGCAATTTAGGGCCTCAGAAACTGTCATAGATAGTGAGGAAGTAATATGAGGAAATATGAACTTTGAAAGCCTGGAGGTGGTCATTGGATTTTGGGGGTGTGTATGTGGCTAGGCTGCCAAAAAGCCTCTCACATGTGGTATCTCCATACTCGGGAGAAGTAGCAGAATGTGCTTTGGTGTGTTATTCCACATATACCCATGGCATGCATGAGCAATATATCATTTAACTGACAACTTTGTTTTAAAAAAAAAAATTAGTAATTTTCCAAAAATTTGTGGCAAAAAATAAAATGTTCCATGGACTCAACATGTCTCTCAGCAAATTCCTTGGGGTGTCTGCTTTCCAAAAAAGGGTCATTTGGGGGGGGGGGGTTGTACAGCCCTGGCATTTTAGCACCTCAAGAAATGTGATAGGCAGTCTAAAAGTAAACAAAACAAATAACAGAAAGGGAGGGGCATCATGGGGTGGTGGCAGGTGGGTGAAATAACTGACATAGAAAATGTTTTTCAGGCTTATTCAGTAACTTTCACAGTACATTTGTCTCTTCTGTAATTTGAAAATAATGCAACAATACTACATTTCAGCATTTGGTGAGGCATGTATCTCCAAGACAAAGGTGACGTTAACATGGGTGTAACCTTAAATATTTATATATATTGTCATATGGAGGCCCCAAGATCACCAACAAGCAACTTTTAAAAGTAAATATTCTTTATTGGTCTCTCAAAAAAGGAAAATACAAATAGCTTTCTTCAGCAAAAGTAAAGTAAACTATTCACAGTCCTGGTATAAAAAATATTATACAACACTGCTCACTGCCAGGCTCTCTGTCCCAAACTGGGATTTGGGGTTCCCACTTGTTTCAGGGTACAGGACTAGCAGCAGGAGCTTAGCAAAACCAGAGTCTCGGTCTCCAGGTATCCACCCTTGTTCATGGCTGTGAACCACTTCACACTACCTCACAGACCCCTGCTTTTTCCTTCCTGCTGCTTTTCAAGACTCCCTTGCATGTGGCTTAACCCCCTCAGTACCAGAGTCTCTGTAGTCAGGGTTTAGAGGTGCTTTTCCCACCTAAAGGTCTCTCCGAACAGTTGATGGGTCCCTAATGAGGACTTAGCAATGCAAAGAGTACTGGAAATCAGTTCTCTTCTCTCTGACCAGACTACCCTAGAACACCTCACCCTGCACCCTGAGTACTGACAATGTCTCTTGAGATAACTCTTAAATGAGCCACAATCCAAATAGCAGGGAAATATACTTGCCTTTCAGGACACACTCCCGGTGTCCTGTACAATATATACACTGATCAGCCCTAACTTTTTGACCACTCACCTTGTATTTAGTAGGTCCCCTTTGACTGCTAAAAAAGCCCTGAGCTTTTGTGACAAGTATGCCACTAAACCTCTGCAAGTATGCTATCTGCCACCAAGCCGTCAGTAGTATATTCTTTAAGTACTCTTATTTGCAAGGTGGGGCCTCCATGGATTTGACTTATTTTTCCAGCACTTCCTACAGAGGCTCGATTGGATTGATATCTGGATAATGCGTAGGCCAAGTCAACACCTCAGAGTTGTCATTTTGTTCTTCAAACCACTCTTGAACAATTTTTGTAGTGTGGCAGGGTGCATTATCCTGCTGAAAAAGGCCACTACCATCAGGTATTACTGTTTCCATGAAGGGGTGTATTTGGTCAACAACGATGTTTAGATAAGTGGTACATGTCAAAGTAACATCCATATGAATGGCAGAACCAAAACCAAAGTTTCCCTGCAGAACAACGACCAAAGCATCACAATGCTACTGTTGGCTGGCCTTCACGTACTGCCTAACATATCCCACTGACTTTTTCAGATGCCATTGTAACAAGATAATCAATGATACTGTCAGTGGTTGTACAGTTAGAGCTGATCGATATATGCTACATATACTGTATATATTGGTCATTTTAGGTAAAATTCCATTTTGTGTGACTGTTAGAGAAGTGGTCAGCATATTTGCTAGAAGTGATAGAAATGTTTGTTTGTCATATATACAAGTAAACACTCTCTCAAGGTAACTTAATGCCCTACCTTCATTTAGTTAGAGAAACAGTTAATTTATAATGTTTGTTTTAACTACCTTCACCCAGCCTATAGTTAAATGACAGCCAGGCAGGAGTTTTCTAATCCTGGGTGAACGGAATACGTCTACCGGACAGTGGAGTTCGTTGTACTGGGCTGACTTCGGTACCTTGTGACCAATCACAGCAATCACATGTCAAATGTACTTTGCTTTTGTACGTGCTTTCATTCATAGCTATTCATTGTGTATTATTGTGATGTGATTATGATTGGTCACAGTGATCATATGGTACAGACAGGGCCAATAACAGTGCACCTGTAACATGTTATAGCTGTGCCCCGTCACAGCTATCACCATTATAGCATTCATAAAAATTATTGCTTATAACAGTGATCATCATACTGCTACTTTTTTTCAGCTTTCTCAGCTGCAAGATTCTCTGCTTGGAAATGTGTCTAGAAAAGGCAAAGAAAGTAGAGTATGAAAAAAAAAAATGAAAAGACATCTTTTATATTGAAATGTCTAATGTAATAATGCAAATCAAAAGCATAAATGGGTCTTTTCAATAGTTAGCCAACCTAAACTGGGGGATATTATTACATAACTTTTTATCAATGATACCCAAAAACAGGGAAATGCACTGTACCAATGCTTTTGACAAAAACTATAAAGTCTGTTGCAGTTTGTGTAATTATATGACACAGAGAAATAACGAACTTGTTATCTGTTATACTCATCTGCCATGTGCAATGGTTTTGCACAGACTGAATCGTATTCTCCTCTTCTGGGGTTCTCAGCCAGAGCTCTGGGCTCCTTCTCTTGTCCGAGTGCCACCATAGGAAGCCGCTTCCTGTGGTGGCACACATGCAGACTCAATCCCAAACCATGTGTGTCTATTGACACAGACGGTGAGGCTCGACCCCGTCCCCCACTCCCCCATCACTGGATTTGAATAACAGCAGCAGGAGCCTGTCAGGAGGAAGAGAGAGAGAGAGAGAGCAGTGCTATTGAATTGAGATCAGGCTCAGGGAGCAATTTCGGGGTTCGGGGAAGGGAAATCCACATCATTTTTACCTTAATGCAGAGAATGAATGATGTTATACCCCTAACATCTCACCTGGATGCAAGGGCAAGTGAAATTGACAAATAGAAATCGGAAGTGACATTCTCCTTTCCAGAATATTGTATTCAAGCAGCCACAGCACACGCGGCTGCCTGAATACATGAACAGTGACTGCATCTGATTGGATGTAGACACTTTTAGGCCAAATATTTCCCATCTGGCACAGTTGATCTTTAAATCAACTTTTGTTGAGCAAGGTGATGCTGACAGAGCCTCTCATTGCTTGAATTTTATGTTCTCGGCAAAAATCTGCTAAAATTCAAGCTGTCTATGGCCAACTTAAGTAATTTTTTCCAATTGATTGCACAGGCAGCATTACTTA